AAATCCACTTGAACATGACGCTGCTTTTTTCGAGGTTTTTCAAGAACCATTCGAGCCACAGAATTCGTTTTGGCATCGTTGGATAGAGAATTGAATAGGGGGGTCAGGCCCAAGGCCAAGGCGTTTTCGTATTAACTAAAGTTACCGCCCACCATCTGCAATTGCAAAAAAAACCCGATTTCCATTTCCATTAACGAAAAAACCGCAACTTTGCAGTTATACAAAATCACAATGGAAAAACCGCTGCAGTGTCGGCCGTCCCTCGAACCAAAGTCAAAGTATCCGGCGGCACCCAGACGTGCTCCAGCGACTTGCAGCAATCAAATAGTAAGTAGTAAGCACTGGAAACTTGCCAGTTGGCAGTGACTGGAACTTTTCAGAAGCTTCGCCTCCGCAATTTAAGTCCTACTCGCTCACTGGCAATACGGCCAACCAGCTCTCTCAATCAGTGAGGGAGAGGCTGATGATGGGCTCACAGAGCCTACCAAAAGGGGGCGTCCACCAGGAGTTCGGGCTCGTGATGAGGCAAATGCGACCAAAGGCCAGCGACGGCTCGCTTAGTGATACTCAGGCAATAGAAAATTGCAGCCCTTATGCACCTTGGCTGCGGCATAGGTAAGTCGGTTAAATCGCAGCCGAAACAGCTTACCAATGGGGGTTTTTCTCCGGAAATAGCAATACGTACTCGGTCGCTCCACGGCTTTCCGAAACGGACAGCATGGAGAGCCTCACCAGTCTTCCAGGTCACAGAAGTAGCCTTACACATGCGCGCCTTTTAAGAGATTCACCTTCGAGGTTGAGCAGGAGTAATAGCATAAGGTAAGGCTCTAATATTCGATAGATACTTGGAAAATTTTAGTGAAAATCAGCCAAACTGCATTGTCGTTTGATCCTTTGGTTGGGTTTATGTTAAGTTTCCCTCCGCACTTAAAGGCCCCCATTCAGAACCATATAGTTGTTATAACTGCCGATTCTTTAAAGCAGAATCAAATAAATTCTAGACCATATCGGGCACTGATAATGACTGAATGGTTCTGCAGAAGTGCACACTTATTTCTTCAAATTGTATGTTTCGAACGTGGAAACAGAAGGTAAAAAATCGGAAGTTACAACTGGAAACATCGTAAAAATGATTTAATGAAGTTCAAATGCGCACCAACTGGAGCATTTTCCAGACGTTATTCCACTGTTTTTATGACTATTTTGTTTCCTTTAACAGCTACCTCAGAGATCGGACATTTCCCAGGTAGACCCCAAGTGTGAACCACTGTGCTTTCGTAAATACGTCTGAGCTTTTGTGCCTTTTTCCACATTCTTCTGTTGCTTTCAGCGTATTTAGAACAAACTATACCATATTGATTCCATGTGGAAAAACTCGAAAATTTTGTGGCTTTCGCACAGATTTGCTTGCAACGATTCACCCCGCGTCTTCGCCTCGAATCTGGATATAAAACAACAGCTTCCAAAACCGCTTTGTACAAATCAGGGGGTAATTTTTGGGGTTTGTTTCTTTGTAGATCGACCAAATCGGAAAAGCTCTACCCCTCCATGTTGCACCGGAATACCGAACCGGAAACGGAGCCTTATTACTGCTTACCAATAGGGAGTTTGTCGCATTGGTCGCAACCTACCAGTCCCGCGCCTGGGAATGCTCGGACTTTTCCCTTAAGCCCCACGCATGGAGGCACTCCAAGGCATAGTATCCCGAAAAACGATGAACGTAAGTAGTTTTTTCTTTGAGTTTAGTTTCAAAAGATAAGCAAAGTTTTTTCAGTCCACGGCTCCTCAATCAGTTTGGTGTCAACGGCCTCCAGCCTCTACTCATCAGCTGAGGAGAAACAAGCTCACGAAATCCGGAAACTCAGAAGGGAACTGGGGGAGGCTCAGGAAAAAGTGCACACTTTAACTTCACAGCTGAGCACAAATGTAAGTACCTTTACAGATTGTCTGCAGTTGATTGCATAGAGAGTTTGCCTGAAAAAATCGTTGAAGAATCGCGACAACCAAATGGTGGTCAAAACTAGTTAACACGTTACGGTGAATGATTTTTGATGCATTTGGATTTGGGTTGGTTCTATTGGCTCTATTCACTCAAATTTGAAGATGTTCTACCCAGTTTGATTGATTTTTTTCGATTCTCTGACTATTAAAAACACAGATTGATCCACACGCAAAGCTACTGTTCTTCTCATCTTACTAGATACTATTATTACTTCTTACAGTTATAGTTCCGGGGGAGCCTGAAATTATCACATCTCGAATACTTTCATGGCTCTGATGATGCCGAAAGTTTCATTAATATTCAGATTCCTCTATTAAAAAACTCCCATTGAAATGCTCAACAAACAATCTTTCCCCATTTGATTATTCTCTTAAACTGATGTGCCGGAACGCAATTCCCTAATTAATCCATATCTAAATACGGATTTTGTTTAGGGGCGGATCCAGCTTTAAAGTCAGGGGGGGTTATGTAGTAAAATACAGTCTTCTGTTGTTTATGAAATTACAAAAATT